CCCTGAGAACATTAGGAATGCGCCAGGTGAACCTTCTGCCCGAGGACAATCCCCGACCATACAGGCCAATGAAACTCCAACTGCCCCTCTTCGGTCACGTCCTCGGCCAAGGAGTACCGCCTTGGTTGTTGACCTCGAGGATGAGGTCCCACCTATACCCTTGTTCCAAAATCAAGATCCTGACTGGTGTCCCCTAGTGTCCAGCATCGTGGACAAGTATCGAAAGGACCACGACTTTGATGAGGGTATGAAGGCTCTTGAATCTCTTCCACGCTTTCAAAGAAGCTCGGGCATTTTTGAGGTCGAGGCCTGAAGCCAAACCCAAGGATTTAAAGAGCATCCCTGAGGTTGCTGATGACCTCGAGCTTTCAGAGTCCGAGGAAATCGTCGAGGACCATGAGGTCGATATTGACAGCGAGGACGCGACGGAAGAGTAGGGGAGCATAGCTTCGGGAGAAAGAGCCAAGGACCTAGATTAGTTCATGTTTTTCTCATGATGACATCCCCCTTCTTTTGTATTTTGAACAAGTATTTTGCTCGATCTTAGATAATGTTCTTTTTGTCATATATTGCTCGATCAAGTATTTTTTATTTTGCAGGATCATGTATGGCTGATGTTTCGATCATGACAAACTTAAATAGCTCGACGTTAAGATGATTCAATAACTTGACGTTTGGGAACAGGTCGACGCCTAAGATGTATTAATATCTCGACGCCTAAAAATGACTTAATAGCTTGATGCCTAGATTAAATATCTCAACGCCTAGGGTGAATTGACAACTCGACGCCTAGATTAATTAAATATCTCGACGCCTAGATTAATTAAATATCCCGACGCCTAGATGAAGTTTTAGCCTTGACGTATGCGAGCATGTATTTGTTATCTCGAGGACTCAATTTGTAAAATCTTTTATGAACATTGTGTGTTGAGCCCATGCATGTATGCAAGTTAATTTGTAAAATCTTTTATGAACATTATGTGTTGAGCTCGAGCATATATGCAAGTTATCTCGAGAACTCAATTTGTAAAATCTTTTATGAACATTATAAGTTATCCCGAGGACTCAATTGGTAAAATCTTTTATGAACATTGTGTGTTGAGCCCGAGTATGTATGCAAGTTATCTCGAGGACTCAATTTGAAAAATCATTTATGAACATTGTGTGTTGAGCCCGAGCATGTATGCAAGTTATCTTGAAGACTCAATTTGAAAAATCATTTATGAACATTGTGTGTTGAGCCTGCGCATGTATCCAAGTTATCTCGAGGACTCAATTTGTAAAATCTTTTATGAACACTTGTTGAGCCCGAGCATGTATGCATGGCGACGTAATGTATCGACCTATAGCGTGATTCTCGAGGACAGTAATAGCCTTTTTATAAGATCTCTCACACCATTGATCGAGCACTTGTGATCGGGAATGTTACTTGACGTGCTTGCACGGGGCAAGACTTTTGTTTGCTTGCACGGGGCAAGGTTTTTTGTTTGCTTGCACGGGACAAGGCTTTTTGATTGCTTGCACGGGGCAAGGCTTTTTGTAGCTAGATCATATTTTGACGAATAGCTTAATTCTTATTATACTTTTTTTAAAAATAGACTTGGCATGCAGGCCTGACAACTGAAAACGTGATCCTTGGCACGCAGGCCTGACTATCGAAAAATGAAACTTGGCAGCAGGCCTGAGAATTGAAAACGTGAACCTTGACGTGCAGGCCTGACTACCGATAACTGGAAGACCAAGTTACTTGTAATATATCTTTAAATTCTCGGTGTTCCATGGTCTTGGAAGCGGCCTTCCTGACGTATCCCTTAAACTGTATACGCCTCCTTGGAATTGTCGTATGACTTGGAAAGGCCCTTCCCAAACTGGTCCTAGCTTGCCCGGGGCATGACCTGCTGCTTCGGCCCTTCTTAACACAAGGTCTCCGACTCTGAATCTTTGCGTCCTCACTTTCTTATTGAAGTACTTTGCTGTTTTATCTTGGTAGGAGGCCATTTTTAAAGTTGCCTGATCATGAACTTCTTCCAAGAGGTCGAGGTGTTCAGTGGTGTGCCCTGCATCTTCGGGCTCTAGCCTCCTTTGGCTGGGCAACCTCACTTCAATAGGCATGGTGGCCTCAATATCAAAAGCTAATATGAAGGGGGTTTTCCCTGTAGCAGTTCTGTGTGACGTTCTATACGTCCAAACTATGGAAGGCAACTCGTCAGGCCAGGAACCTCTTGCATCGTCGATCCTTGTACGGAGGTCTTGTAATATAATCTGATTGGTCACTTCGGCAAGGCCATTACTTTGAGGATGGGAAACCGACGTCAAACGGTGATCAACCCCTAGGTCGGTACAAAAGTTTTTAAATTGTGCATTGTCAAACTACCTGCCATTATCAGCTATGAGGACTTTCAGTATCTCGAACCTGCATATGATGAATCTCCAAATGAAACTTCTTAACTTCGGCTCTGAAATTGTTGCTAAAGGCTCGGCCTCTACCCACTTAGTGAAATACTCTACAGCCACAGCCACAAACTTCAATTGTTCCCTACTTATTGGAAAGGGACCAAGGATGTCAATTCCCCACTGCTCAAATGGGGCTGTGCAACTAATGCTAGTGAGGTTTTCTGCGAGAGGGTGGATGACATTGCCAAATCTTTGGCACTTGTTGCACTTCTTGATATATTCCTGGGCGTCTTTCTTCGTGGTTGGCCAATAATATTCATACCTTATGAGCTTGAAGGCTAATGCCCGAGCACCTTGATGGTTCCCACATACACCTTTATGAACTTCTTCTAGGGCCTGGGATGATTCGGAAGGCCTAAGGCATCTGAGGTATGGAAGCAAAATAAAACACCTTCAATCATGCAATACCTCGGAACTTTGGACCAGATGCTTCTTGCTGCCCGAGGATCTTTTAGAAGGCGGCCATGTTTTATGAAGTCCACTATTAGGTCCATCCATGATGGTTCATTATCAATATTCATGACGCCTATGGTCTGGTTGATGCTTGGCTCGGTTACAATTCTAACGTGGACTGTCCTGTCAAGCCCATCTATTCCCATGAACACAATCTTGACAAGGCATCGGCCCTACAATTCTCAGCTCGAGAAATTTTTACAATTTCACAACTCTTGAACTTTCTCTGGAGATCATGCACTTTCAAGCAATATAAGCTCATCTTCTCATCCTTTCTATCGAACGACCCTTCGATTTGTTCAAGCACCAACTAGGAATCACTATAAATTTTGATATTTTCAAGCTCGAGATTTATGGCGAGTTCCATGGCTATGATGACGGCCTCATATTCTGCTTCATTATTGGTCGCCTCAAATTCAAATCTTAGTGCACACTGATTGTTTATGAGCATGTCCGGGCTTATGATTATGACCCCCTGCGCCCGAGCTTGAGGAGTTTGATGCTCCATCTACGAAAATTTCCAACATAGTAGTTATGCTCGAGCTCGAGCCACTATATGGCCCCCGAGGCCTTGGGGTGAGTTCTGCAATGAAGTCAGCTAAGGCCTGAGCTTTGATAGATGGATGGGGCTTGAACTCTATGTCAAATTCTCCGAGTTCAATTGCCCACCTCAGTAATCTTCCTGAGACGTTTGGTTTCTGAAGAATGTGTTTTAGAGGCTGATTGGTGAGCACAACAATAAGATGTGACTGAAAATATTGCCGAAGTTTTCGTGCTGTTACTATCAGTGCAAGGGCAAGTTGTTCTGCCAAAGTGTATCTTGTTTCTGCATCAAGTAGGACTTTGCTTACGTAATAAATGGGTTGCTGGCCCTATTAACCGCTTTCACCAATACACCACTCACTGCATTCTGAGATACGGCTAAGTACAAATACAGAGTTTCTCTAGGCTCGAGTTTGGTGAGGATAGGGGGAGATTCCAATGTGTGCTTGAGCTCCTGAAAAGCCTTCTCACACTCCTCATTCCATTCAAAGCAATGATTACCCCTGAGGGCTTTGAAGAAGGGGAAGCACTTGTCTGCTGCTCGGGACATGAACCTATTTAAGGTTGCTACCCTACCTGTCAACTTTTGAACCTCTTTCTTGGTCCTTGGTGATTCCATTGCTGCCAGAGCCTGAATTTTGTCGGGGTTAGACTCAATGCCCCAATGAGTGATCATGAAACCCAGAAACTTTCCTGAAGCTACGCCAAATACACACTTCTCTGGGTTGAGCTTCATCTTATATTTTTGTAGGGTGGCGAACACCTCCTCAAGGTCGGATATATGTTCCTCCACCTTCTTACTTTTTACAACCATGTCATCCACATAGGCCTCGATATTCTTCCCTATCAAATCGGCGAAGACCTTGTTGATGAGCCTCTGATATGTTGCCCCCAACATTTTTCAACCTAAATGGCATCACCCTATAGCAATATATGGCTGAATCAGCCATGAATGAAGTCTTCTCTTGGTCTTCTTTGGCCATGAGGATTTGATGATACCCTGAGAATGCATCTAGGAAGCTGTACAGCTTATGTTCGGATGTGCTATCCACAAGATTATCGATCCTAGGTAGCGGGTAGCTGTTCTTTGGGCATACCTTATTCAGATTTGTGAAGTCAATGCAAACCCTCCACTTACCGCTGGGATTTTTCACCAGAACAACATTAGCGAGCTAATCGGGGTATTGGACTTCCCTTATGAACCCCGCTCCCAACAATTTGCCGACTTCTTCCTGAATGACCACACGTCTTTCCGGCGCAAACTGTCTATTCCTTTGCTTAACAGGTTTGGCCCCTAGGCTGATATTAAGTTTATGGACAGCTACTTCTGGGTCTATCCCTGGCATATCTCCCACCTTCCATGCAAAAACATCAATGTTACGGGATAGACAACTGATGACCTCCTCCCGGAGGTTGACCTTCAGATCCCGACCAATAGTAACGACTTTTCCATGCTCGAGCTCGACCACTTCCAATTCCTCAACGGGGGCCAATCTACCCCTTGGCTTGAGCTCGAGGTCTATGAGTTGCATGACGTTAGTATTCATGCCTTAGATGCTTGTAACATAGCACTGTCTAGCCACCATTTGGTCTCCTCGAACTACTCCGATGCCATGACCTGTGGGAAACTTCATGGCGAGGTGGAAAGTTGACACAACAGCCTGGATCTTGTTCAGTAGGGGTCTTCCCAGAATGATGTTGTAGGCCATTGGGGTGTTAACCACTTGGAATGGTGTGATCTCCGTCACTTGTGTACTACCAACTCCTAATGTAAGCGGGAGCTCGACGATGCCTTCAGGGATAATGATTCCACCACCAAATCCTTGTAGGGGGGTTTTTACTGCTTTAAGCTGTTTGGGAGAGATTCCCATTTTGGTGAAAGCCTCCTGCGATAATATGTTCGCGGCACTCCCATTATCAACTAGAATCCTCCTTACTTCGAAGTTAGCCACAACTGCAGAAACGACCAAGGCATCATCATGAGGATATGATATTCCTTCCAAATCTCTTGCACCAAAAGTGATGTCTCTAACTTCATCACTGGATTCTCTTGGGGTATGAGCATGTTGGCGGGCATACTGCTTTTGCCCACTACTTCTGTCTCCGTCGGACGCTATACCTCCGACGATAATATTAATGGTTTCGACAGTGGGTTGAGAACTGCTTCCAGCCCCAGGCTCTTTCCGATTGTCACGGTCATTCCTTGGCCGTTTATCAGGACCAATGTAATTCTTTAAAAATCCTCTTTTGATAAGAGCTTCAATTTATCGCTGTAAAGCTTGACAATCCTCTGTAGTATGCCCATGATCCGGTGAAATTCGCAATACTTGCTCCTATCTCTTGTGTTAGGGGGTGACTTCATCTTTGAAGGCCACTTTAATTCTTTCATATCCTTAACCTCCATCAAAATGATTGCCTTAGAGGTGTTCAACCGAGTGAGAGGTGCTGATAGCGCCTCGTTCCTTCGCTTATCCCAGGGAAACTCATGCCGGGGGACGGGATCATGTTGCCTTTTGTTCTCGGTCTTTTCATGGGAAGGACCAGGTCTCCTTGGATTTAGTGTTTCCTCCATATTAATGTATTTTTCAGCTCGGGTGAGGAGCTTGGTCACTGTTTGCGGCGGGTTCTTTGATAAAGACATCTTGAAAGCTTCACATCTTACGACGTAAGTGAGGGCGGAGATAGCTACTGTGATGTGGAGGTCGGGTATTTGAAGCCTTTCCTTGTTGAACCTTGTCATAAATCCTCGCAGGGTTTCAGTCGGTCCTAGGCGAAGTTGCATGAGAGAGGCCGCGGTCTTCCTGATTCGCTTGCTACTTGCAAAGAAGGCTGAGAACTTATCAGCCAAATCTGAGAATGAGGCTATGGAGTTGGGCTCCAATGTCGAGAACCAATCCCTAGCAGCATTAGTCAGCGTTTGTGGAAAGGCTTTACACATAACCTGATCTGGCGCAACTTGCAAGTTCATGACATCAGTGTATACATTGAGATGGTTGATGGGGTCGGTCGTCCCATCATACTCTTTAATGCGAGGATATTTGAATCTATCGGGCAAGGAATATAATAATATCTCTGGTGTGAATGGAGTGTTAGGGGTGAAACCTGTTGGCCCCTGAGCATTACGTTGCAGGCTAGCTGTAATTCCTTCTTGAATGATCCGGGCAATTTCACCGAAATCCATGGCGACCAATCTTGAGCCCGAGGCCATATTATGAATACCTGAGGTTCCTACTCCACCATTTGCGAGGTTTGGTGGTCGTGCTCGAGCATCGGCCATAAAACCGCCATGCTCCGCCTGCCCTGGCGACGGATGTGAATTTCTTTGACTTAACAGTTGACGGAGCTCTTCAAAGGTTTTGGTTGTGATGACCGCAGACAGAGGTGCGGGCACTCCTGAGGATTCTTCATGAGGAGCCGGTTGATTTTCGACAGGATGAGGGACGTGAGCGGATGAGCTTGCAGGAGGAAGATGTGATCGCGTGTTAACCATGGCTTTTGGTAGCTTTTCCCATAGATAGCGTCAATGATGCTACTAAAAATCGTACCTGCAGATTTTCCGAGCTTGATGATTCGGGTTGATCACGATCGTAGTCTTCCGGTACCTGAAACAAAGGCAACGAGGTGTATTCTCGTCGCCCCTCCGATGCTTAAGTCAGAAAGGGAATTATATGCATGAGGCTATATGTTGGAGAACAATGAAAAAACGTACCTGAATAATGGCTCAAGGTTCTGTATTTATAGTAGTAAGCGGCATTCTCCTAGTAGGACTCAACTAACTGGATGTCCTTATCTGTTGGAGTCCTGAATAGTTAAGGAGTTGGTCACATTCCATAATTATATGTGGGATAGAATCCTTGCGGGAGTCAAGTATATGGTTGAGTTAGAGTCCTAATTGCGTAGGAATTCTAAAGGGTCAACAATCGTAGGTTGTGAGGGGAGCATATGCTCGAGGACTGCTGATGCTCGAGGACAAGTGTTACAATTTTTGACTCGGCTTGGCCCGGTCCTTCGATAGCTTTCAAGCGCTGAACCCGATCCAATTCATTTCGTAGTCGTAGCTCGTGCATGGGAAATTAAGCCGATATGAATGGTGAGAAACTAGTCGGGCTGGAAGGGGCCCTACGGGCGGGCATCTACCGCAACGCAACCACCATTGTTCGCCACCACCCAAGAAGCAAAAGATTCGAGAGTCCAAGTACGGAACGAGCCTTGTCTACGAAGCAGAGCGCCCTAATCTTGCTTGCTTCTGGGGAAGCTTCTAGCACTAGATAATAAGGCACTCTCCTTCTTCACGTCCTAAGTCGGCACTAGCATATAGAAACCAGGTAGATCTTGAGTCTTACCCCAGGCGGCACAATAACCAACCCTCACTCCCGAAAGGTTACTCTCCTCTCTACCGAGCAAGCTCCATTCATGCCCAACCATCGCACACACCCTACGACTAAAACTTCTATTGTTGGGTTTTTCCAAGTGGAAGAAGGTGAAGCGGCGGGTCACCCAAAGTGAAAGGAAAGACCCTCATATTGGGGAAACCTGGGGGAAGGGATCTTAACCCCGAAGCTTATGCGAAGCAGCCAGGCAGATGTGGTCGGGCATAATGTCTCGAGGCTACCATATGCTCGAGGACTCCATAGGTGGAGTTATAAGTTCATCAAAAATTATTCGTCGGATAATGTAGTGATCGGGCCGCTGTAAATGTCAGTATCAGGTACATACCATACCATAAAGATGGAAATAATATGAAATAAGAAAATAATATATTTTCAATAAAATCACGTGAAAATAAAATAACAATTTTTTCCACGTGATAAAAAGGAAACAATTTTTTTCCTAATTTGGGTTATAAATCCAACAAGATAGAGGATCTTAACAAGAAAACGCATACCTCGTAAGTTTCCATTTCGTCTTCCTTATTAAATGCCAAGAGGCGAACCATGTACACATAGAAACATCACCCCGAGCTTAGGAAGCCTCAAAATTTTGGGTATCTTATACAAACAGACAATTATTCACCTGAAATTACTAGATGAAAAAGCAATGTACTCTAGACTCTTATCTTAAAACAACTTTAAGAGAAAAACAACAAAATTAAAGAGTCTGTTTGGTACAGATTAAAATTTGATTTTAATTTAGTCAAAGTCAAACAATCAATATTGATCGCATTTTTAATGAATTTCACAACTTTTCAATCACATATTTTAAAAATTCCTATCACAATCTACTAAAAAATTTAATTTTAATTCTCACTGCACACCCTCTACTTGTCATAGTATTGTGTTTTGTGCAACAATAGTGATGAATAATATGGAATCAAGAAAGAAAAATAACACTATTTACGTGGTTTGGCAATAGGCCTACGTCCACTCAGCTCCACTCCATCGTCGGGCTATTCATTCCGGTATACATATGTTCCACTCTGTGAAAGCCACGTAATACAACACACTGCAGTGAGAACAAATAATGGGTTTTGAGTTTGAGGATTTTTAATCTTTAACTTTCACTGCATTATTTCATAATTTAAGAACACCATAATTTAACAAATTGCATAAAAATTAAGGAAATTTGAACCATAGACTAGCTTATGGGTTGGTTTGAACTTGTAAGCCCGACATGTCCTATGTATTAATTTTGGCGGACCAACCCATGAATCGATTTGAATTTTAATATGACTCGAATAGAATTATTTAGTTCACTTCCGATGTTCTCGATTCCGTAAGACAAAAAAAAAAATGTTTGATTTTGAATTTTGATATGATTCGAATAGAATTAGTGCATGTTCGTTAGAGATTTTAATAATTGGTTTTTTGACCGTTAGAGATAAAGTGTGTCTTATCTGTGAGAGAAGAATTCAAAAATGAAGGTTCAAATAGTAAAATAACATTTGAAAAATCGATTTTAATTGACTTAAAATCTCTACCAAACAAGCACTTATTTAGTTCACTTCCGATGTTCTCGATTCCATACGACAAAAAAAAAAATGTTTGATTTTGAATTGTTAGATTTGGGTTTGTTCTATTCAATGGTTGAACACTTTTACACTGATTCATCCAAATCGAACTTAATTAACTAAATTAGTCCTGATTATAGCTTCTAGTTATAGAACCGAATATTATTTCAGTTTTAAAATCATTATTTTCATAATCTCTTGATTAAATAATCTTTAAAATAGTGTTATGTTAATTAAATTTAAAATGAAATAATATGCATTACAATAATCAACATTTATGTCGGTTAAATGAAAAAAATATACAACAATTTATGCTCTCTCTCTCTCTATATTTTTTTCTAATGCATAAAAAAAGAAAATTGAATCGAAAAAATTTAATGATGATATTTAGAAATAACTCATTTTTAATGTAGGATTTACTTGTAAAGAACTATTTTATATTTAAAAGAAAAAAATTACTAAATTCTATATTTTTCTTTTTGGCCAAACCTGCTTTATTCATTTTAACTTTACCAATCAACATAAAAAGAAGAAATTGTTGAATTATCTTTTGCTTTTTGGTCGAAAATCATCATTTTTTCCCTGAATAATTTATATGTGAACGGAATCCATGCAACAAAGAACAACAAAAAATGATGAAAGCAAGAACACGATGATTTCAACTTTCATCTGCAAGCATAATTTATATTTTAGACAGTAAGTTTAAGTTACTCATTTTGTCAAATACGATTTTTTAAATCTACTTTCTTGGAAAGAAAATTCTTATTTTATGTTTGGCAAAGCTTTTATGCGTCATTTTTAACGACATTTATTTAGACCCTCAATTATCTATTTTTAACTACACATTCCATGGTACCCACTGCTTTTAAACACTTAAAAGCTTAGCCAAGCAAGCACTTAGTTGCTAAAAACTTAAAAATGTAACTTTAAGCACAGCCAAACATGCCATAGGAGTGGCGGGTTGCAAATGCAGAGAAACTTACATGGTAAATACATTCACTTGACCACAATGCAACAACATTCTTTCACAACGTGTACACATCAGCCTCAAAAACAGGTTTACATGACAGAAGCAGATCAAACAAAAAAGAAAAAAATATAGTCGGCACCCTTCTTGTTCCGGCTGCTTCTTTTGGTACATTTACGATTTACCTATTAATACACTTGACATTTCGTCTGCTGGAAACTTTCTCGTCAGTTACTACCAAACATGTACAAAACGATCTTACCCTTTTAAAGGGTGCTGCTGAGAGAGACAGGAGATTGTTGCACAAAAAAGGAAGAACGAACAGAAAACAGTAAGGTATAGGGAAATAATGGTAGTAGTAGCAGCAACCTTATAGCTGCTGCCCTTTAGTGTACTTGTAGCCCAGGATATGCTGCTGGTCGGGCTACCCTCGCTTAGAGATGATTTAGCCACCTCGTGTTAACTACTAACGAGCAAAACTCGATAATGCTCCAGTTCACGTCATGCCCTCAGGTGATGCAAAAAACTGTAGGCCCATTTGTCTTTTCATGTGATCAGGAATAAGCTTGTTGATGAGCTCCGGTGAGGCTCCAGACAACTATAACCCAAAAAAGGAAAACAATAACGATGTAAGAACCATTGTTAAATTCATGAAGAAATTTTATACGACATATCATTCATGCAGTGTGTAAGCATCCACATGGGATAAATGAACGTATGCCATTACATGCAACCATCAAATGAATGATTTCCTTCGATTTCCATTTGGTTATTACCGACGAAAAGGAAATGAATTACCCCGTAATGTATCAACTTTAAGCAGTTCAAAGTAATGCAATTTTGATCATCTATATATAAAAAGTACATGCATATAATAAATAAGGCTATTCTTAATTTGTTTAACATAACAGTGGTTTTCCATCCATTAAAACATTACAGTGCTTGTTTGGCATAGCTTATAATTACTTATAAGCATGCCAAACTCTTTTTATCGACACACTCCATAGGCCCACAACTTTTACCTATTTTCTAAACACATTATTCCTAGGGAACCACTGTTTAAGCACTTAAATTGATCAATCATGGTGAAGTCAGCAATGGATTTGACGGATCATCCACGTCATGCTAGGATTCGGAAAGGACATTTATGAGAGCGGGGTGAGTTTTAAGAGAGACGGGTATACAAGCAAGCACTCATTAATAAATAAAAAAGCATGGAAATTTCATGCGAATATGGACAATGAAGAATAGAGAACGTATTCACACTGCGCACCTCCTGTTTGAAGTTGAATATAGGTGGCAATGGGTGTCCATTTGGCATTCGAACATTAGGTTCTCGAAGCTCATCAAAGAAAGGATGTGCACAAGCTTCTATCTGCAACAAGAAGAATTCTAGTCAGACAGAACAAATACATCTGAAACTATCAGTGCAGATGCAGGTTAATCGTGCGAATACAGATCAAAAGTCATTTAGTATCAAATGAAAAAGAATTGTTAGGTATTAGAAGAAAGAGGGATGTATCCTATTTTGAATCAAATGAGTGTAACCCTAATCATGTGGAATGTTAAACTATACTTCAATATTTATTGAGGAGTAGAAGTACCAATTCCTCTATCGAGGAAACAACAATCAAACACTACAATTGCACATATATATTATTATAATCTAAATCAGTTCTTTAAGCAAATAAAGATGTCGAAAGAAACTCACTGCCGTGCAACGAAGACTAGGCGAGTATTGCAGTAACCGGGAGGCAAGGTCTATCGCTTCTGGAGGCATTCGTTTATGAAAGACCTGAAAGTAAGACGTAATATGTACAAGTCAATATGATTTACAAAAACCTGTGAGAGGAGTCGAAGATTTTACCTAAAGCTACATATAAAGACACTTTATAAGACTAATGTAGTGAGCATAGGCTAAGGGATAAAAATGGTGGTTGTAAACAACAAATTACTGCAATGATCACATATTCACAACTTTGGTCATGGTAGATGACCCAAATCTTTTATTTCTTAATCTTCCGTTCTCTTCTCTTATGATTTAGCAACTTTTACTCAATCCTCGAGGTTTAGTCCTAACCTCGCCCTACAACTTTCCTCCCATTACGTAGGTAGACATAGTCTAACCTGCGTCCACCTCAAAGCCTCAATATTGGGTACACTGAAATTGTTCTTGTGACACTTCACCTTGGAATGTTATAACCCCACCTTAGCAGTAGAAATGTTTTACATCTGCATCTCAGAAACCAACGGGATACTTCCATCCCTTATAAGAAACAACTTTCTCTAGCATGTTAATCATAATATCTGCTCCAAACATTCTCAATTTGTGTTATATGAGTTAACTCTGAAAAATGAAGAACTTGGAAAAACTCCACACTCAAGTAAATAAAATATATCTCTCAAATACGTCTTCGTTTATGCTCATATATTCTCATTCAAATCCTAGAGCTCAGCGTCACACTTATTAGTGGAAGCATCTTGGATATTTCCACATGTACACACCTCATTCATGAGTATCAGGACTCCTCCATTCATTATTAATATACCCGTTCATTAGAAAAGTGCAATATCCTAAGAAAGTGTACCGGACATGGAAGTTAGATCATGCGACCACAAATGACGATAACAAGAAAAATGTATACAACCGCGAACCAAAAAATGAAGGTTCTTCCTCAGAAATTAGAACCAACTTTTAACGAAATATGTACCTTGTGCCATGGATGTGCCTTTATTTGAGGAAACCTAAAATCAGTATAATTTGGATTCATACAACGAATCTCCTCCCTGGTTGGAGTTCCAAGAACCTGAAAGATAAAGCACATGAAACTACAGCACTATGACAATTTTGAATTACATTTTAGAATTAATAATCAAGTGGCACCTTGATAATTTCCACGAGTTGGCCCACAGCATTTTCACCAGGAAACAGTGGCTAGATTATTGAATCATACATCAGACCATTATATAAATGCAAAAGAACCAAATGAACAAACATCATAATTCAACAAAGACTGAATATAAGGAATCTACTAACTTGTCCCAAAAGAAGTTCAGCAAGGACACAGCCAGCCGACCATATATCAATAGAGTTAGTGTATTCTGTTGCACCAAAAATCAGTTCAGGAGCCCGATAAAACCGCGAACAAATGTACGATATGTTTGCTTCGCCTTTCACCTGTTTAGGATTGAATTTCATCAATTATAAATCACACCAAGCAAAATCATCATTTTTTTTTTTTTAAAGATTGAATATAAAGTAGCAGATGGACTATGCAAGGTGAGTAGTTTTTAACAAATACTTTAGAATATAAAATGTAAAAACAGGCTGTCGGCTGCACAATGGAAGCATTAAAGAAAATAACTTGTGGCAGCACCTCAAAAAACAAAACTAACACGAAAAATGAAGAAACTACAACAAGATCAACAGAGGGAAAACTTGGAAAATGCTAATAAATCATATATAGATGTTAATGGAAACAAATAGATTAGGAACAGGAACAGGAAAGAGTTTCACTTACTAGTACTTTTGCACTTCCAAAATCACATATTTTAACCTGATGCGTAAGAGGGTTAACCTGCAATAAAATAACAAATAATATTACTAAAAAGATTACAACTTTTCTACACAATTTATTAATTTTAAATCACTCTTAAATGCTTACCAGAACATTTTGAGGCTTCAAATCTCTATGACATACTCCAGCAACAGTATGCATGTAAGCCAGCCCCCTGAAGATCTGCAATGCATTTCCTAATTATTATGTTGAAATGAGATGAATATTAGACATAGCTATTAATGAAGTTCTATACATACTTGGTATGTATAAAGTTTCACATAGATGAGTGGCATTCTCTGGTTTGTGTTGCTATAGTGCTTCACGACCTTATACATTGTTTCTGGCACATATTCCATAACTAAATTGAGAAAAAGCTCATCTTTGCTCGTAGTTGAAAAGAAACAATGCTTCAAAGAAACAACATTTGGATGATCCATAGTCCTCATTAACTGCAGCTCACGGTTCTTATATCTTCTATCTTGCAAGACCTTCTTAATAGCCACGGTCTCCCCAGTTTCCAGGCACTTTGCCTATGTTAAGCCAAAAATTAGTAAAATTAATTCGCTATAAAATGTCAGAATGGCCAAAATAGCTACAAAGTTATATAGATATACCTGAAACACAATTCCAAATGAACCAGTCCCCACAACTCGCTCAGCCATATAACTTACTGTCTGCACGAAGAATCATCCAATACCAATTAGATTTCACCTCTTCATTTTCCCTTTATTTTCCCCTTTTGTTTGAGCAAGCTCAAAAGTGCATGCCAATATTCACTTGCATAAACGCATACATGGATTGTGAATCACCGAGATCATAAGCATTCAAGAAGTGGTTTTACCTGTTTGGGTTCTCCATTTTTACCCCCAATGGTTGTGGAAATTATGTGACCAGTGACAGCACCATTCCCATCCATTACAGGATCAGCCATCTCCTACAACAGCAATTTAAACAAGAACAAGTTATGGCAGAGTCGAACAGCATTTGAACAACTTAGAATTAATTCAATAAATAAGATTTGGGAACAATATAACTAGGTAAACAAACAAAATTCCTTAATGCTCGCAATAGATCAAGATTTGTAATTTATTTTAACTTAATATAAGAATCAATCAGAGGAAGTATCATAAATTATCTTGTGATGATCAACCAAGGATAAGCACTAGCAGCCTTGAGAGGCACTCCAGATCTCAACATCCCTCGTGTGAACCCGGATTAATGTATGAGGAATTGTTCAATTAAGATCAGATCATGAATCAAGAAGCAGAAAAAAATAATAATAATAAAATCAAATCAAATCAAATCAAACTAGTGATCTAGTCCCTGATCTGCTACCTGATATCTATACCAGAAGCAATTCACCTCTATCGAAAAATTTAAAAAGTCAAGGAACAAATCCATGAAATCTTGAGGAAAAGGGAGAATCTAATATGGACACAATTCATAATATTATAAAATGCTCAATTTGGGTGGGAAAAAAGGGTTTCATTTTGTATCCAATCTAATTTTACAAAAACTAAAAACGATTTTCTTTACCAGAATCCGAAAAATACATATTAATAAAGGCTATTTGTTTTCTATTCTTCTCCCATAACACGACCAAGCAAAAAGGAAAATAATTATCAGAAAAACTCTTTTAGCTATATATTTTCAGAACTTTCTCCTAAATAAACACCACCCAGAAAAAAAATCCAATCTTTTTATAAGAATTATAGAAAAAGAAATAAATTATTACCTTATCGTCGGCCATAACAATAATACTGATGAAATAAATAAAATTCCGACGTGTATTCAAACCAGAAGGAGAAGAAGAAGACTTTAGCTTTTGATTAGGTTTTTCTTTTATGGCTTGTTCATAATTGTCGGTAAGGAAAGAATTAGAGAGAGAAAGATAAACAGAGAGGACCCATCAAGAAAACAGCACCCATGTGATTACAGCTCTTCTCCTTTTTGGTCACTCTCTCTCTCTCTCTCTCTCTCCTCTGAAGAGAGAATGATGAAAAAGGTTCCCTATAATTACTTAACCAAAAATAAGTGAAAAATATAAAGAAATCCAAGTAATTGTTGAGTTGGACTTTCTTGTTCTCTTGTTATGAGTGGATCACTCCACTTAATCGATTCCAACCAATGTTTTCAAGAGAATTATCAATTGTGTTTGGCTATTCTTTAAATTTGTACGTCAAATTTGTACGTCGACTAGTTACTCTGTTAACTGAAAATTTTTATATTTTTTAAGTAATTGTTATTTAAAATCTACCAACGCAAACAATACTTTATTGATCAATAATATTTATTCCATTATTGGACTATTGTCAAGTGACGTGTGAGTAAAAATTTGGATGATTGTATTCCATTTATATTTAGAGACATTTTTATTCACATCATAACTTTTAATCTTTTATTAACTATTCATGGTGGCATTTGTATTCTTAATTTTTTTTTCTTTGAGTCATTCAACCTTTATTCTTTCATCAATTAGTATATCATATTTTTCAAAAATTTCAATTTTTGTCCAAGAGGTCCATCGAGATAGTGTAAAATGACTTCTTAGTGCATCATATTTTTCAAAAAAGTAAAATAAAATGAAGAAGTGCGAAAAAAATATTTATATCTCTTTATAAAGCACATAAATAATTTTTTTTTTAAGGAAATCATCTTCAAGAACAAGAAGTGTGAATTAATGAAACGTTGAAGAATAAGGTTTGATGAAACATGTAATGCAAAATTTTTTACAAGATGCAAATATTGAATACTTCAAATACAATTAAATGTAGTGCAGCAAAATTAAATTACGATATAAATATAATTTGTTGACTTCAAAATTAGCAAGGCTAATTTTAAGCCAACTTTAAGAGAAAATGGCGATTTATTATTGAAAAAAAAATCACAAAATATGTTTAGAGAGTGTAATTATGTCTTGAGTTGTTGTATGAAAATCACATGCCCTTTACAATAGTCTTATTCAACTATTTATACATTGTTTCAACCAACATTACATCAAATCAATCAATCAAATCAGCAACAGTACCGATCTCAGACCTTGGATCGTCGGATTCTCTTGTGATTGGTCGATGAGGCCGGTGGCCATGTGGCCATGTTTTCCTCAGGTAATGATGACCTGCAAGGGGCTGGAGGTTGAGGACTTATGATTGGTTTGTTCCGGGCGGTGATGATGTCACCTTTGGCAAGTGTATTTGACTGATAAGGTGATGTGACAGGGGGTAATCATAATATTTTTCTGAGATAACGGTGGGATTGTCCGACCTGGGAGTAAGGACCAAACTCACATTTAAGTGAGGTGGGGTTAGCGAACTGTTTTTATTAGATTGGAGTTCGGATGTCAACAGTTACCCCCCAGGTCAGTTCGTCCGTAAGGGGGGCTGACCTTTTGACTTCACAGGTTCTTTTTCCAAGAAAAGTAATTATTATTATGCCAAGTGTCATGCCTAGGTAGTGATGAGCTATACGGCATTTTTAGATAGTTTCTTTGATAAGTTTCCTGATACTGTGTCGTTTTGCCCCGGAGACATTTCAACCGTAGATCTTCCCTCCTTTATTTTGAACTAACGGCCCAGATTAGAAAACCCTTTATCTTCCTTTTTTTTTTTAAATATTCAATGGCTTTTCATTTTGTCTTTTTACTTTACACTGTTTTCTCTCAAAGCACTAAGGAATTCCGAGCACGCCCTGTCTGTCGTTTGAGTAAGGTCGTCCTTCGAGTTCTCAGGTATTCCTTCACTTTTTCACTTAATCCGTTTGTTTTGTTCTTTTCCATGAGTTCGGACGAGTCGAGGGTTCAATCCTGGGAAAATCAACAGGAAGAATTCGTCCCTTCTACTTCTAGTTCGTCCTCGGGGTATCAAGAGATTTTTACTCCTGTTCCTATTTCTGTTGCTAACCCCGTTATTTTGGCCCATCCTGGGGAGATAGGGCGAGATATGGTAGACAAGGAGGTGGTTTCCCCTGTGGGTAGTGAAGGGAATGATCAGTTGGAGTGGGGGCTGGTTCTTACAGGTCGGTAGTTATAGGTGATATGTTAGCTATTTGGAGGGCAAAATACGATATTCCGAGTTCGATAATTATGATAATCCCTAAACCATCTGACCGTGCTGACGCTCTCCCTATGGGATGTGTCGCATTGAATTCTACCATCCTTCAAGCCGGGCTAAGATTACCTATTCCTAAGATTATCCGTAAGTTCTTATCTTCTTGGAGCTCCGACCCAGTTATTCCCAAATGGGTGGCAAACTCTGATCGTCACACGTATTCTGTGGGATAGATTAGGTAGCCTTGAGCTTACGGTTGAGCAGTTCAACTCTTTATCTACTTTTAAGGAAGATGGGAAGAACTCGGGTTGGTGGTACACAAGTGTTAGGCCAAGGACGGGAGGCTCTCTGGTTTTAGACACCCCCTCCTCGATTAAAAAATGGAAGAAAGAGTGGTTCTATGTGTCGGGGGAGTGGCAGTTTCATTCTGCCAAGTGAATAGGGACGACGTGGTCCCAGCGCTTTATCACTCGTTATGTAAGTAACTGCCTCTTGTTGTTCTGACCTAGATTGTATTCCGAGCGGTGCATTGCTGAAGAAACAAAGATCTTGCAAATTTTTTCTCTCGAATTCCAACCTTTTCCATGCCGGCTTAATTCAAACCAAGGTGTCGGGGCCTTCTATCGTCGCAACGTCTACATCGGTGCCGACCAGTTCGGGTCGATTTTGATTGGTTTATTGAGATGATGTTTGTTAGAGTTGAGTACTGACATACTTTTTTGTTTACAGCTCACAATTCAAAAATGTTGGGATACAAGGCGGCGAAAGCTGCGGCCGCAGCGAAGGCCAAGAAGAGGGACGTCCCAGAGCGGGATGAAAGCCATTTTGAGGAAGTAGAGGACGAGGTCCCCTTGAAGAGGAATCGTACTGGTACGCCGACCGCACCAAGGGTCCCTGAAGCTAATCCCGCGTTGAGCTCTTCTCCTTTGGTGGCCATCACTTTGCCGTCTCTAGCTCATACGTCGCCACCTCCTGCGGCACCTGCTTCCGCTTCGACTAGCTCGAAAAGGGTGTATGAGAGGTGCTTGGACTTACAGAGACCATCACTGGACAGTCTACTAGGCCACTGTCTAGAGATCTTCCTGGATTACTTGCGAGCTCTATCTCCATCGAGAGAGGTTACTGCTGCACTTCCCCACCTCTGCGTTATTCTGTAAACTTGCTTACCAAGAGTTGAGGTGAAAGGGAACAGGGCTTCCTTAATGAGATGCCCATAGGCGAGGCCCTAGTGACTGCTCAACTCTATGGCCATTGCTCTATCCTGTATATGATGGCCGTAGCTGATAAGGTATTTTCTTTCATTTTATTTGATGATTTACATATTTGCGAGGTACTTAACTTATGGATTTGTAGGTGAAATCTGAGCTCGACAAACTGATGGAGGCCAAGGATCAGGCCTTGAATTTGTATAACAGCATGGAGGCTGAGAGAGCTCAATTTGCAATAAAAGAAAAAGAATACGACGTGAAGCTTAACACGATGGGTTTGAGCTGAACTCAAGGTTGGAGATGGAAGAAAAGTGGATGGGGGAGATTAAAGCTCTGAGCAAGGAGGCCGGTCGTAGGGCTGACGCTGAGAAGAAGAGGATTGAGGAAGAGAGAGTTCGGACTGTGGAGAAGGTACGGGAGGCAAATTAGAGGGCAAGAGAGGCGATACGTAGAGTTGAGGAGGTTGAATCTAGGGCTGCGAGGGCAGTGGAGACTTGGAGGTCGTCCTCCGAGTTTGACGCTCTTGCTCAGGATACTTACATCGTGGCTCTGGAGAAAGTAGTAAAACACATTCGCAGAGAGAGGCGAGGGTTCGACGTGGGTTTTCTTGAGGAAGCTATGGAAGAGCAGAAGGAAGAGCTTCAGCGTTTGTCGGAAGCGACAGGGGTTCGGATTTCTCCTGCTGGTGAAGATGATGTCGCTCCTCGTGAAGACCTCCCTTTCCCTAGCTCTTCCTAGGACATTTTTTAGATTTGTGGTGAATTTGTTAAACTTTATGGATATCATGTTTGTGCTTGAAGATGAGCCATACTCTATTTTGAATGCTTATGAAAATGTATGTTTTCTTTTTTGTGGGGTCTAAATTTTATTACTTATTTCATCCTTTCGTGAATTTTTAATGATGGAATGTCTTCTAGTTAGAGTATGTGACAGAACTTGTAAGTCATACGAACCTAGATCGGCCTGCACATGCTGCTGGGCTTCGTAGAATTTCCAAATGGGAATTTTCGCTAAGGGTCGTAGCATTTACGACCTTAGGTTGGCCTGCGTATGGAGCAGGGCTTTATAAGATTCCTTAGGAAGAATGTCCACTAAGGGTAACACGTACAGCCTTAGATCTGCCTGCGTATGTAGGAGGGCTTTGTAAGATTCTTTAGGAGGAATGTTTACTAAGAGTAACATATACAGCCTTAGATCGACCTGCGTAAGTAGCAGGGCTTTGTAAGATTCCTTAAGAGGAATGTTCACAAAGGGTCGCAGTACTTAGGACCTTAGATATGCCTGCGTATGGAGCAGGGCTTTGTAAGATTCCTTAGGAGGAATGTTCACTAAGGATAACACGTACAGCTTTAAATCGACCTGCATAAGTAGCAGGACTTTTTAAGATTCCTTAGGAGGAATGTCCCTTTTCATTGTGTGATTGACATTACAAGTGGGCTTTATATGTCACGGACTTTTCCTGTTCATTAATAATACTGCTTGAGGTGTTCAGCATTCCAAGGATGGGGTAAGGGTCTACTCTCCAAGTCTTCCAGCTCATATCCCCCTTTTAGCAGGACCTTCGTTATCAGATAAGGGCCCTCCCAATTCGGGCCCAAGCATCCACTGCCTACCTCTCTTGTGGGAAGGAATACTTTCCGTAATAAGAGGGATCTTGCTTCGAATTCTCTTTTTCATACTTTTTTATTGTAGTACTTGGCATTCCGCTGCTTGTAAACGGCATTTTTAAGTTCAGCATTG